TGAAGCTTTTGGCCATGTGCTTGGGACCCTTGATTTTGGTCTTCGCCATCAGGTAACTAATGATCCTCCTTTTCTTTTTCTTTTTCGTGCTCTGGATGTAGAACTAGGATGGAATAGAAAAGGGATACAAAACATAGGACCCAGGAGGCTAGACCCTTGAAATCCATAAGGGATACTTCTTGAAAACATAAGAAACTAACCTGTTGAATCTACAAGAACAACAGATTCTGAAACTCAACTTTATTCTATCAGAGAATATGTGTGCTTGCATAGGCACACCAAAGCCATAAATGTACTGAACTAAAAGTGGGAATAAAATGATAGTAAACATAAGTCCTTAGTGAAAAAAATAGTTGATTGCAATATTATGAATTACAAACAGAAAGCTTCCAAAAAAAATGACAACAATGCGCAGTTGATGAATCTAAAAATAACTTGAAAATAGCAATGCCTCCCCCCAGTTCTCCATTTGGGATAACAAGTGCTTGTTTTTGTTGCCTATTGTGCTCATATGTTGTCAAGTCCTTAACTTTAAAGAGTTTGGTGCATCTTGTTGGAATATGACACAAATTGGATTGGCATAGAACCTGAATGTAAGATAGACTTCATTACTCAGTTTTGCTCTACAATTGTGTTTGTGTGAATTTGCACAATATATCTTGTATGCATAGCCAACAAGTTTCTTACTAAATGATGACAAGGTATAGCCTCCACCCACCCACCTTTTGCACCAGGAAATTCTTTCTAAATCTTCAAAGCCATAACTTTTCCATTGGTGGTACAGGACACAGAAGTAGTTAATATGTGCCTGAGCGCTCTGAAAGCTCTTGCTTCCTACCACTATAAGGAGACAGGTGCTGGCAAAACAGGCTTGGGCTTACATGCCAGTGGTGTGGAAGATTCAAGTGGGAATATGCAGGAAGGCATTTTGAGTAGATTCCTTCAATTGTTAATGCAATTACTCCTTTTTGAGGATTACAGGTAATTGGCTTGCTTAATGTACAATGTTGAAGGGAAAAAGTAGTTTGTGTTGCATTTAATAAAAGAAATAGGTCAGGATCATCAACACTTGCAAAACATGTTTGACAATCATTTTACTTCCTTGCAATGCTTGATATCATAGTCTGAAGTTCTTCTGTTTGTGTTTCCAGTCCGGATCTGGTTGGTCCCGCAGCGGATGCTCTGTTTCCGTTGATTCTTTGTGAACAAGTTCTTTACCAGGTATTTTTCCCTAAGCTTGTATGTAACTTGGACACTTTGTTAATGTTCCATTTCGTTATGACACAAACAGCTATCACATTCCAGCAAGCATTACCACAATTATGTCTTTCAGTATTGAGTGGGTGGCATTTTCATTTTGTAGTCTCCTCCTTGTACTTGCTACAAATGAGTCTCTTATCTCGATAATACTTGAACTGTTTTCTCTTTAGTGGATGGAAAGGTTAGAAGGTGATTTTCTTGCTTATAATTATGAAATCCTGGATCAAATAGTCTTGACTTGGTGATATTACAGCAAGTCTTTACTTGTGATATTACAGCAAGAGTACTTTGTGATTGACTGCATCAGTAACTTTGGGGAAATAGCAGCTCATCTCTCTCTCTCAGAGGAGAGTGAATGTTGCAAAATTATCTCCACTCAAGATTCTCGATTGACTTCATTGGTAATTTTTGGGAAATAGCAGTTCATCTCGCATTCTCTCAGAGGAGAGTGAATAGACTGCATTGGTAACTTTTGGGATATAGCAGTTCATCTCTCATTCTCTCAGAGGAGAGTGAATAGACTGCCTTGGTAACTTTTGGGATATAGCAGTTCATCTCTCATTCTCTCAGAGGAGAGTGAATAGACTGCCTTGGTAACTTTTGGGATATAGCAGTTCATCTCTCATTCTCTCAGAGGAGAGTGAATGTTGCAAAATTATCTCCACTCAAGATTCTCCTTCAGGTGAACAATTTAATGGAAGGCAAAATCATAATCTCATCACTCCAAAATCTTTTAGATCCCCCTTTCCACCCTGTAACACTTGCAGACAAACACAGATTTATGTCTGGGGATGTCTGTGGTTGCAAGGAGAAGGAGAGAGACTACAACGAGTGTGCACATTTGCTTAAATGTTGTTGGAATGTCTGTCTAAAAATTTAGGAGTCGTTAACACATTTTCCTTAATGGTGGTGAAACTCGCAATGCATACACACGAACTTTTCATGAAATGTTAGTCAGACAACTCTTTATCTGTTAGTTAATATGGGGCATGTAATGACTGAAGGAGCTGGATAAGTACCTTCACATGGTAAATATTGCTTCTTTCTGATGGAAGGACATATTTGCAGGGGGCGTGTTTAGTTTGTAGAAGTCAAGTTTGCTAGTGTTTAAAATATTAAAATTTCATTGAATATTTCACAGAATGGTAATAGAACAATCATTAATTGCATCCTTTGCACCCCTTCCCCCAAAGATCAACCAAGTTTTGAATTGGCGAATTTGATTAATGCGTTATGAGGCATTTTTGGTTGCAGAAATTAGCCAATGAGCTCATAGAGAGGCAAACAAATCCAACATTGAGATCAAGGATGGCAAGTGCATTGCAGTCCCTCACAAGTGCCAATCAGCTTTCATCCACCCTAGATCGCATGAATTACCAAAGATTCAGGAAGAACATGAACAACTTTTTGATTGAAGTTCGTGGATTCCTGCGGACAATCTGAATTGTGGCCCTGCTCTGTAAATGTAAGCAAAGTATTTTGGTTTTCTTATTCTTTGCATTGTTTTCACATGAACTAGGTCTTGGAATCAGAAGGAAAATCCCAGTTTCAAGGTACAGTATAGTCAGTTTCTCGTTGTTAGCAGAGTGAAGTTAAAACTGTTTGTGATGAATGAAATTGAATTTGAAAACTTTGGTACAAGCACAAGGGAGTGAAAACGATGGTTTCTGAGTGAAAAGGCGCCTAGGCAGTTACACTTCCAGTTTTCTTACAGTTTCCCGCTGTTCCAAGATAATCCCCGATTGCATGAATAACTCAAAACTTGCCACTTTGTGCTAACACCAAGCTAGGAGGGCTACCTTGCATATCCTAGTTACAAGCACAAGAGCATGCATATGCAAGAAAATCAAAGTGCCCTTTGTCAATGCATGCATGCGTGCTAATATAGGCGTGCTAGAATGAGCATTGCGTCTGTATGCATAAACAAGTATCCGTTACATGATGATTAAGCAATGCCTTTTCCACATAAAGATCTATCTTTTGTGCTTTCAAAATCTATTTCCTTTAGGGCAAGTAAGTTGCTTTTCTAATTGTTTCTCACCTGAAAAGCATCTAGTTGATGTTTTTTTAGGTGATTTTGATAGTTTTAATATGCTAATGTTAAAATAAAAAAGAATATTTTGATGTATTTTCAATTGAATTATATTTTTCAGAAAGCTCATTCCACCACACTACCAAACACAGACACCTTTTCCATCGCTTTACCCTGATTGTCAAGCCATCGGATACTTTCATTGTGTTAGCCTCCGTCATGCAATCTTTAGTCTCCTCTGAGGTAAAAAGAAAACATATGATTGCAACTCTTATGGTAAAGGTAGTTACGAGGAGTTTTAGGAAAATATTGTCCTGAAAATCACTTTCTTTCGCTTTTTAATGTTCGGCGGCAACTTCAAGGAAAGCTGGTTGGGTAAACCATTTCCAGTCAGAAAAATTATCCTCAAAGAAAGAGTTTCAAGGAAAACATTTTTTTTAAACTTCAAAAAAAAGAAAAAATGTGTTAATTTTTTATTATATCAACTTTAATTGTTAATCTTTTAATTGTTATATGTTTTTTCAATTTGTTTTTAATTTTATCCTCGAAATTTTAATTTATATTAATTTTGATTTTAATTTTTATGTTAAATTGGATCATTGTTTTTTTATTATTTATTTTACTTAAAATAATTTATTATTTTTTTAATTTCATTTTTCTTTAACCTTTTCATCTTATAAGTTTTTGTTCTTTTAATAAATTTTTTAAAAAAAATTAAAAAATTATTTTTTACTAAAATATAAAAAAATAAATTATTTCAAGAAATTACTTGAAAAAAACATTTTCAAATTAGTAGTAGTTAAAATATTATACTATATATATATATATATATATATATATATATATATATTTGTTCTGACAGATAGTCATGCTTTTTAATTATTATTATATTTTTGTTGTAATATTCATTAATTTTTTAAGCATCCTATTTTATAGAATATTTAACAATATAATAGTAATTATTTTTAAAGTATTTTTTATTTTTAAAATTATTTTAACAACACATTAAAATGATAACCAACAAAATCTTTTCACCAGCTGTACAACGGAATTTTTTTAAAATTGTAATTTTTAAAATTAGTTTTTTTATCTTTCTAGAATTGATATATTAATCTTAACAATAAATTTTAAAAAATAAAAAACATATATTTTAATATATTCTTAAATAAAAAAACATTACTACCACCACCCCATGACGCCCCTGACAGAACAAAAAATATTGCCATTTTAATAACAATAATAATAATAAAAAAGTTGATCCAATAACAAACAAACATGGTGAATTCTTTTCCAAGTTGGATCCCATTTCGCATCTGACAAGCATGCTTTGAAGGCCTCGTTATGTACTTCGTTCTGTACTTTCAAACAAACAAACAAAGCCTCGTTATGTACTTCGTTCTGTACTTTCGAACAAACAAACAAAAGGATTATAGGATTAGGCTGGTTGCGTGGTTATAATTGTTTTTTATTAAAAAATATATTAAAATAATATTTTTTTTATTTATAAAATTTTATTTTTAACATTAGCATAATTTAAAAATATTAAAAAATTATTAATTTAAAGCAAAGAAAAAAAATAAAAAAATTAATTTTTTTAAAAACGTTTTTAAAATACAAAAATAATCATAATCTAATTAAAAAAGAAAAACAGAAAGGCTGGCATAAAAACAAAAAAAAAAATACTCGCAAGGGACAGGCTCAAAACACCTGAGAAGATAGAGAAATTCCCATTATGCGATTTAATTGTATAGAATATAGCATAAATGTATCACATAATTTTACGACTGCTAGGCTTTATCCCCAGCACAAAGGAGGGGCTAAAAGAAGCAAATTAGCAACACCAACACCCATCTGAAGGTGGCATGGCATGCTGTTCCGGGCATCTCACCTAGACACCACAAAGGCTGGTGGCATGCTGTTCCGGGCATCTCACCTAGATGTCATCACAGAGGCTGCAACTTTCTTACGCTTACTTGTGCAATACACTCTTCTTTGGAAGCTTCGGTTTCCTTTGACTCTGGTTCTGAAAGGTCATAGAAACAGATTTTCAGCTTGAGAGAATGGAAGAAGATGATTTGATTCGGGCAAAAACAAGAAGATGTACCTTTTGTCTTTCTAAAGCTCCGTAATCTGTCCTCTCCCTCCAGTTGCTCTTCCGTAATTTGATGGGCCGGTTTCCAACATATTTACCTGAAATCAAGGTTAAGGAAAGGAATTAACACACTAAAACAGCTCAGAACAGGTGTAAGTTCTGAATGAAGGCATGAAAAAGATTTAATTCAATTCATCACTGGGTAAAGGGAATTAAAATATCAACCAAAGATCCAATCAGAATCTATGAGTTCATCAGCCAAGAGTGGACAATGCCCAGTGCCCTTTAATTAAAATATTAACTACTTTCTCCTCTTTTAATTATCATCCATATGCATAAGAGCCAAAGCTGGCTGATACAATTATGAAATACATGCAAGACGCAACGTCTTCTCTTCATAAATATCTTGTTTGGTAGCTGAAAGCCGATCTCGTACCCATAGCGAAGTTAAAAGGTAACAGACAGCCATTCAGCCACCTTGTTATATTAAAAGATAACTGATACAGCCAGAGGTCAGTCTCAAAAACAGTGCCCAAACATTTGTTCCCACCCATCTCTCCCTCGTAACAGAAACAGTCAACAGCTGCTCATAACAGAACAGCACAACAAAAAAAGAGGAAAAAAAAGCAGAGAGATTAGAGTTGACTCACCATTCATCTCCTTAAGTGCAGCAGCAAGGTCAGTAGGGCTAGCAAAGCTAACAAATCCATAGCCCTTGGTCTTTCCAGTTCGCTTATCCCTGACAACCTATTATGTGAGGAAGTACAGCATAAGCATAATACAGTAACCATTGAAGCTTCCAACAAATAAAAACAAAAAACAAAAAAAACACCAGGAAAGGGAAAGAAATACAAACAGCAAAAACATAATAGCAAATGCATTCCATGTGCCGATGAACAGGCACAATAGAACAAACATGCGTTATCGACATGATCACAGCCCACAATCTCCCAGCCACCCACACAGATTGAATATGAGGTACCAAGGACCAAACTCAAACTACCAGAGACAGAGCATCATGGTCAAATCCCAAAAAACATGATTAAAATTTGTACCTTATTTCAACAATCAATCTTCTATGGAAAAACACTCCCTTTTAGACTCACATACCACAAGGAAATTTCAGAAAAGGTAAGGTGAAAAAAACCTTATGGGGATTATTCCAAAAAAATCTACAAACAGGCCTAGTTTAACCCAGATAATGCTCATTCAAGGTGAATCTTTAAAGGATTTATTAGATTACGCCATCATACTAATAAAACAAAATAAATTCATCACATGCCTGTCCAAGAAAAAATACTGAAGATGATAAATGTTGCTTGGTCCACGAACTGAACCAATACCATCAAAACCAAGCATTATGGAGGGCCTAATTTATTGACTCTCAAATTTTATAATGATAAAAATAAAAAAGGAAAAAAAAATTGACTCTCAAATTTTATAATGATAAAAAAAAAAGAGAGAGCAGTGAACTAGATTATTACATCAACTTGCAATTTGAAAGTTATTCACATGATCAAGATGTCCAGGAAATATGTAGATTGTAGACAAAGCCTACCTTAGTACACAGAAAAACACTGCTCTGTGCGCTTCAAAGAAAAATCTGAACAGGAAATGTAGAAGTTTCACAGACTAGGCAAACAATTATTCATACAGAAGAAATCAAGTGATGCGAGTGAAACATCAACTTACTCTGGCCAAGTTAAAAGAAGGAAACCTCGAAAATGCTTTTGAAAGAACATCATCATTCACCTCATTACCAAGATCACCACAAAATACACGGTAGTCATCTGCAACAGCACAGTGTGAACACCTTAGATGAGAAATAAAGTGATGAATGACCAAAATCAATATCAACTAAAGAACCGTTTCCATGGTCAATCCAACATTATTATATAGAAAAGCTCAAAAGAAAAACAAAATTGCATCAGAGAAGCAACATACTTTCAGGCCATTCTGCAAGAATTGGATCCTCCCATGTCTGGCCAGCAGCTTTACGAGGAATTGCTTTCCTTTTAATCTCTGCTTTATGTTCAACCTCACTATTTGCAAGGGCTGCTTTCACACTCTCAAGTGCTTCAGGCGTGATCGTTTGTGCATCCCTCTGAAACAACTGGTGCGCCTGTTCAAACACACCACAAAATCATTCACCCCATAAAGAAATAAGATTAAATGAAAAATAAAACAAAAAAATAGTGGAAACATAAAAAGACCCATCAAATTATCATTATCAAATAAAGTAGAACTGAAAACAATCCAAATCAAAGTAGCCAAATTTCACAACCAAATTAGATTGACTATCCAATTTATGCCCATTACATTTACTTCAAAAAAAAAAATTCCAATATTAACCAGACCCATTCTGAAACAATTTTTCAAAAAATCTATCTCATTATCACAAATTCACAATCAATTTTCACATCACCACAAAAAAAAAAATAAGTATTTTCACATCACCACAAAAAAAAAAATAATAAGCCAATCAAAAACCCTAAAATTAACCATTTTCCCCAAAACCCATATAAACCACCACAAAAACAAAATGAGCAAAATAACTAACAATCTCACAATTTTCATGTTCCTAATATTAATCAATTTTGAATCAATAAAAATAATTCATCTCATAATTACAAATTTACAACTCGATTTTCACATCACCACAAAAACACTCAATTAAACCGTAAAATCAATCCATTTCCCCAAAACCCACTTCACAAAACACAAAAAGGACCAAACTTCACATAAATTTTTCACAATTATAACATAATCATTCAAAATAAAAAGCCCTAACAAGCAAAATTAAAAAAAAAACTTAAATTCAGTAGACAAAAGTAGAATTGCTGACCTGTTGGTACTGTGGAAGGGAGTAAACGGGTCCAATCGGGGCAGGCGCATAAACGGGCGCCATGACGGTAGGAGGTGGAGCGACATAGGGTTTGGGGTAAGTTTCCGATTGCTGGAGGTGAAATGGGGTAGGGAAATACGCGCCGTTTGCTACTGTTGCTGACGTCGATGCTGCGTAAGTGAATTGCTGCGATGTTGAAGAAGATGGAGGGATCGACATGGGTTTTAGGGTTTGATTGAACGACTGACTACTCGTTCGTGTGTATTGGTGAGAATTGCAGGCTGGATTGGATTTGAAGAAAAGAGAGTCGAGTGTTCTGGAGGTATCGTGGGATATATTGTTGTATACTTGTATTTATTAGGATGATATGTTCTTTCCAATTTTAACATCTAGACGACTGCTAATTTTTTTCTTATGAAGTGCCTTCATTTATTTTAATTTTCTTAAACTTCGGTTTTAAAAGGTTATTTAATCCTTTTTTTAAAGTATGTTTTAGTTTTTGTATTGTATGTTAAATATGATAGCGTAAAGAGTTCTTGAGAATAAATTTTAATTAAAAATTTATTAAAATAATTTTTTTATTTTTTAATATCAATACAATAAAATTATTAAATTTTTAAAAAAAATAGGATAAAATACACTTTTAAAATACACTCCAAAACTTATCACTCTTTTAAATATTGTTTCAATTTTTTTTAATAATTTTAATATATTAATATCAAAAATTAAATAAAAAATAAAATATTACGTGACCATAAAAATATACTTGTAATTTTCTTTATTATTAATGTCATGATATAGATAACATTAAATAACATGATTGTATGGTATCTTTTAAAAATTGAATTTTTTAGTTAAAAATTATTTTTTTATATTTTAGATTGTTTTGATATACTAATTTTAAAATTAATTTTTTAAAAATAAAAAAAAAAAATTATTTTAATATATTTCAATACAAAAAGTATTTTTAAAAATAATCATAATCATATTCCTAAACAATCATGCATAAAATTATAAAACTAAAAAAATTACTCTAGTTTGATTAAAATTATATTTATTTATTAAATTTTTAAAAATTATAGTTTACATGTTTAATGAGTATAAAATAGAATAAATTATAGAATGACTTAGAACATAAACTAATATGTACATAGTAAAATTCAGATTATAAAGTTTAATTTTTCAAAATTTAATAAATAAGTTTAATTTTGATTAAACTATATGGACTAATAGGGTAATTTTTTTAAAAGTAAATTAAAAATCAAAATTAGCTAAGAAAATTCAAGATTGTTTAAAGGTTTGAAACAATGGATTGAGCATCATGGCATGCAAATTAAATGCATAATGGAAATGATATATTTGTCTATTGAGATAGGAAAAATTAGCACAATTTACAAGCCATATGCCCAAAAGGCAGATAGATTTTTTTTATATTCTCCTTTTCTTTTCTTTTTCTTTTTTTCTTTTTATCAATACGACAGCTTGTTTGTTAATTTGTATACCTACGTAAATTAACAATTTAATGTAACACCATTTTATTACACGAGGAGAGGAAAGAATATAAACTATGTCATAAAAAATCTTGGGCAGCTAGGTCTAATGGTAAAGAATTATGCTCTAGTTGTTAATTTTCTATATTCAAATTTTGTGACAAGTAGGCAAGCATTCAGATAAATTTATTTATTTAAATGCACCTCATTGATGGAAAATATGAGTTTTATTTATTTATTTATATTAATATATTAAAATTATTAAAAAAGACATTTATAAAAATCAATTTGGTGTTTTCTTCAAATAAAATACATTTAAAAATTAAAATCACTATATATCTAAATAGTCATTGATTATCCGTTTGAAAGTGTAAGGTAGCTATGGTGCAACCCTTGTTTTCAAATAAAATTTTAGAATTTATTTGATATTATGGTAATAATTATTTTTTAAAGATTATTCTTTTAAGATCGATTGAAAAAAAAGCTCGAGCCTCTATTAACATTGAAAAATTGTTTCTTGCAAAAGAGATATCAACTGTCATCAAAAAAACTTGTGCAGAAAATGTTTGTGTGAAATTATGCCAAAGGGAGGTATTGAATGCTATAACCTTCCTTGTCTGCTGAATTCTGATGCGGAGAAACTAGGTGAATGCCAAACTTCTTCACTTGAAAACAAGCAGGCAAAATTATGGAACACGCCACTGAATCACCAGCTTCTAACTTGTCACTAAGCGTCCAATGACTTAACCACAACATATCCTCATTGGCTTCAGGAACTCCAAAGATTTCTGGGCTATACTCCAAAATTTGACCTTTGGCTACAATTCTTATTTTGGCACGGCAAGAACTTTCAAAATTACCCCTCATGTCAGAGCATGTATACACAACACATATGTTGAAACCACAGAAATCAAAACTAGAACTTGAAGGTACGCAAAAACATGCATGGCATGTTCCCGTCGCGTGACAGAACCAATCTGGAATCTCCTGCACTGGCAGGTATATGTTACTTATGCCACCATCTTGAAATACCTGTTGCAGCATAGTCATAATTCACAAAATGCACTAGAATAAGGACGCCACAATCTTGGTATATATCAGGATAAAGACTACTAATGGATAGAATGATAGGAACTGCCAAGGGGCCTGTATTTAGGGATTCCTTTCTTGAATGTCAAATTTAAAAAGTATGTCGAGTATTTAAGAAAATGCCAGTTTAGGACCATTGGAATGCACGTGACAATGAACACACGAAATAAGAAACAGGTAAGAGTGGACCTGGATGGTAGTCTTTCCTTGTGCTGTTGTTGTCATTGCACCAAAATTAGTGTTGTCTTGAGTGATTCTCATGGATTCTGATTTCTGCAAACCAACATTATAGATCATCTCCACGTCAAAGCTCAGCAATTGTTCTAACTTGAACAGGCCTTGAAGCTTATCTGGTTCTTGGCGACCAAACATGTAGATATCCAGTGGTCCCAATACGGGTCCGAAATTGCTTATTAGTAATCTCTCTAAACTACTTGGTAGGCTTGGAAGTGATTGGAGACTTGTGCATCCTTGTAACATAAGAGTATCAAGCCTTGTCAGGCTACTAATGCTTTCAGGTAGATGCTGAAATGGATTTCCACTTAGATCCAAATGTTCCAAACAAAGCAAGGAACTAAGATTATTACGCATCATATCATCCCTTATATTGCAGTTTGCAAGGCTTAAATTTACCAAAGAAGATGGTAAGCAATCGATAGACCGCTTGGTTGACAATGTGCCGTTTCTCATTAACCAGGACCACATTCTTGAAGCCCACTTTTGAAACTGACTCATGAGAGGTCCATCTGCACGAATCACCCCCAAGAATTTCATTTTTTCCAAGTGATTCGGTATCTCACTATCAAGTTTAGAGCAACCAGACAATATTAGAGTTTGAAGTGATGTCAACTTGCACATTTCATCTGGAAGTCTCTTGAGATTTATGCAGTCCTTAAAACTTGAAAAGGAAAGATTTTGTAGGTTTCCAATGGACTTGTGAACCTCAGCCAAATTCGTGCATTCTTCAAGCATCAATATTTCAAGACAAAGGAGTTCTGAGAAGTCTGGAGTTCTAACTAGACCATGACAACGACTGAGATTAAGGATCTTCAACCCTGGAAAACACTATTTGAAATTACAAGAAAATAATTAGTAGTTTTCACCAATTGATGAGAGAAATCAGAGAACGATATAGATTATTAATGTACCCGGATTCCATGCCAAACATGTCTTAGACTGCTGTTGCATAGGTCAAGAACAATAAGATCCTCGAGATAAAAATCGACTGGTATATGATCCCAAGGGACGTGATGCCAACACAGCCACACTAATCCTTTTGGAAAATTTGCATACCCTCCTTTAAGCCTCAAATTATTGAGGTGGATTAGTTTTAGATTGCTCATGCTTGCAAAAGCATCGGTGTTTAAGTCCACCAAACATTTTGAGGCTATATTTACTTGTTCCCAGTCAAGGATGAAGCTCTTAATAGACCTGGAACCCTGCTATGAAGCAATTGTATATATGTATATATATAAATATATATATATAGAATACAGAAATCACAAAAAATACGCATGCAAACTGTTATTTCAAGTAAATGCAAAAGGTAAGCTTCTCACAATTTTTTTTCTCAAAATCTTAAATGAATCACCATGACACCAAATTCTGCTACGCTCTCCATGATTCTCAGGTGATTCTCGACGGACAATTTCCCATCCCATTTCCCTAAGCAATTGATGCATTGCCAGTTTATTGTCCTTATCAATAGATATCAGATACCTGTCGATAAGTTCTTGAATTCCAACATTCCGATAGAAATCACAGCTTTCAACAATTCTCTCCACAAAGGTTATGTCTTCTCCAATGAAGAAACAAGCTATATCAAGAAACAAATTCTTGTCACGATCATCTTGAAGAGAGTCATAACTTACTCGAAGAATCTCGTGAATTTTACCACCATCAAGGGCTTCTGGTTCTCTTATTGCTCTTTTCCATGAATCCCTAGTTTGACTAGACAAAGAAAAGCCAATTACTTTGAGAGCAAGTGGTAGCCCTCCACAATAATGCTCTATTTTTTAGAGTCTGCAAGTAATATTCAGAAGGCTGTGATTGTCTAAATGCATGCCAAGTAAAGAGTTGAAGGGATTCACTGTCATGAAGAGGCAAAATTCTAAACTCTTTACAAGGTTGATCATGAAAACTTTGCAAGCGACCATTTCTGGTTGTTATGATGATTCTACTTCCCTTGTAAAGCCATTTCCCCATTTCAAGAATTGATTTGAGTTGGCCAACATCATCTACATCATCTAGAACAATAAGTACTTTCTTGAACCGTGTGGCATATCTTATTTGGATAGTTCCGTCATCTACATTGTTTATCTTGTGGAATCCCCCCTTCATATCTGAAAGAAGTTGCATCTGTAATTGAACTAAACCATTGTATTGCTTTGACGTTTCTCTGACATCTTTCAGAAAGCTCCAACAATCAAATTGCTCGAAATTGAGGTTGAAAACAGTCTTGGCAATTGTTGTCTTACCAACACCACCAATTCCACATATTACTGCTATATTAACATCTTTGGGTTTGTCTTGTATCCAGTTGTTAATGCCTTTCACCTGAGCATCAACTCCAACTAAATAAGAGGGCACATGCAGTATTGTGCGTTTCAACATTTCTCCAACCTTTTTAACAATATCTTGTATGAATCCTGACTCAGGTCTGCAGATAGAAAAAATAAAAATAAAATAGAAAACCCATATTTAAAAAGAAATGGTTTGTCACTGCCTCGTTGCTCTTCTTTTTCTCTTTTGCCAATGCCTCATTTCTTATCCCAGTTGCCTAACAGTTTTCCATTTCTCTTTCCACATTGAAGACATTAATTTTCCCTAGATAGGCCACACTGAAAGTCAAATCTTCAGAAACCTAGTTGTAGTACTTTAAGTCCTGAAAGCAAAAGATCAATCCCTTCGCTTCAGGGCCTATACTGGTCCAGTCTCCATATGGATTTGAGGCATCAAGACTAATTTCAAAGGCCTTAATCGTATCCTCGCTTTCCTAAACAGGCTGGAAAGTAGAAACATCTACTTATCCTAACTGACAAGTTTATGAATTCCGTTAGGAAACTATTATATTCAATTAATTGTAATTAAACTCCTCATTTTAGAGCCAATTATTAATTAACTCATGGAATTTGTTGGATTCAGGGCATTATGAAAACATTTCTTTAGTCACCAAAGAGTATTCCAATCGAGACATTTGCTCAGTGGGATATTCACATTTTCTATTTTCTCTATATATACTTCATCAGCTCAGTTTCCTTTCCCTTAAGTTATAGTTCCACAACAATGGAGTTTTGGCAACCACTGATGTGTTGATTTGATAACTACTAAAAGGTTTTTAGTAACCCTGTTCTGCAATTTCCTTAATCTGAAGTAATGTAGGATTAACGATTTATAACAAAAGTAGCTAAATGATGACCAAGTAACATTCACTACGTACTAATCAACGGAGTTTTCAATTTTAACATTAAGTATAGAAACTAATTACCTGTTATGTAAAACCATTCCTGCCAGATTAATGACCTTGCAAAGAGCTTTCCTCCATCTCTTAATCTTCTCATCCTTGAAGCGTTTTGCATGTCCAGAAAATGCTTCTTCCAAATCACCTGTTTGCTTCTGATGGATCGACGTCGTAAAATACAGGAAGAACAATGTGCCCAGCATGATGCTTTTTATGTTCCATAATCATTGCAACCTCATCTAGGCACCAACTTGAAGAAGCAAAATCACTCGAGAAGACAATCAATGACATTTTTGACTGTCGTATTGCCTTTTCAACTTCACATTCTATGTCTGCGCCTCTCTCAATTGCATCGTCATCTCTAAATACATGAATTCCTGCCCACTTCAAAGCTGTATACAGATGGTCGGTGAAATTCTTGAGGGTGTCCTCGCCCCTAAAGCTTAAAAACACATGATAAGAAAATTCACACATTGAGGAGCTTGATTCCTAGTTATTAACAGCAGCCATCAAGATGGATGGAGGATATCTACCAGCAGTAACAATCAGAAGATGTCAGCAATCTGAAAAAACAGCAAGTAGTATTTAAAATGATGGGACAATAAAAATACCCATGTTACTAAAAATCAATTCCAAAAAGAAAACTTTAAGTTATTTTGCAAATCCTTTGATATTAGTAGTAGTCATCATGGTGGATGAAGGAGTATATTTACCACTAGTAACACTCAGAAGATATCACTAATCTGAAAAAAACAGCAAGAACTGCATAAAATGATGGGAAAATAAAATTAACCCTCTAATTAAACAGGGTTATCCTAATCAATTTGCAACTAAATTAAACATCTTGTGAGTGTCCCACAAATCCTTTAATATTTTAGTTGTTCATTTAAAGCATATCAATCATGAAGTAGTTCTTCGTGCTCTAACTTCTATCTATTAAACAAGAAAATCCTACCGCCATGCAAAATAATATTCCATGTCGTGAAAACGAAAACAAGAGAGAGGATATAAATGCCTACTGGCCTTCGCTTTCCTGTGTCTCTGCTGTGATTGAGAACCTGCATTATGGCACTCACTGTCGGCCTTTGGTTGATACATAGATCAGAAAGTCAACTGTTAAGTCCAGGCAGGGGGGTAAGATGTTTTATGGTGGGTTTTGGAACGTGGTGTTGTTTTTAAATTTTGATTTTTTTTTATTTAAAATAATTTTTTTATTTTTATATTGTTTTGATGTATTAATATAAAAAAAATTTTAAAAAAATTATTTTAATATATTTTTAAACAAAAAACACTTTAAACTCATCACCATAAATATAATCTCAAATACACTCTTAATTATAATTATAATTAAAAAAATAAAATGCCTCATATTAACTATATATCTATGGCATAGAATAGCTAAATTATCATTTTATCTTTGCTAAAAAAAAAACCTTATATAACTTGGTTTTAAGGGTGGAAAGATCTTTTCCATGTCATATTAATAAAAAATAAATAAGTTTTTATATATTTTAAATACACAGTATAATAACTCGTATAACTTTTAAAGTAAAAGAATTGAAAACTAAAAAGAAAGGTTTTTTGGTCTTTTAATGTTTTGAATACTCATTAAAATGATCATACTGTTTTTAAAAACAAAAGGAATAAAACTTGTGGTTAGCAGTATTTAAGTCTTTTTCACTCTATATTTTCACTTTTATTTTTTTAATTATTTTTATATATGTTCAAAGACTTAATTAACCCTCATTCAAATTGGTTAGTACAAAAATATACATGTGCCAACGAGTAAGCGACACTTTTACTTTTTGTGTTGCACATTCATTGCTTACAGTAATCAAACACTAATATTCATGATGATATTGGAAGCAACGTGTTGTCCTCTTCATAGTGATGGAGTGCATGTTCATGGTGGAGCTTTGGTTGGGCTCTGGTGAAAAAAAATAATTCTTATATGTTTTCTCTCTTATGGCCTTGAATTTCGCATTTACCCTTTCAAAAATCAATTATGTCATTCAATTTGTATTTTTATCAATTTTATTCCTCGTTTTTTTATTACTATTTGTTTTTCTTTTAATACTTTTTGAAGTTTATTTGATTTTGAATTTCATTACCTGCATTTTATTTCATCTAATTTTTGTATCCAATTTGATTCTTATTCTTTTAATTACTATTTTTTTATTCTAATCTTGATTTGTTTTTCAATTTTTTTTCCTTGTCATTTCATTTCATTTAACTTTTATATCCAGTTTTGGTCCTCATTTTTTTTATTGCTATTTTTTATCACCTTTTTAATTTATTTTAATTTTCAATTTAGTCCCTCATTGTTTTCTTTCATTTATTTTTATGTCAGATTTGGTCCTCATTATTTTGATAACTATTTGTTATTGTTTATGATTAAGAATTTCACTTAGTGATTTTTTTGTGTTTTCCTTCTTTCATTTGTTTTTATTTTTTGATGAAAAATAATTTTAGTCTCACGACCCAAGTCATTGTTTTTGAAAATTAGTCAGATTTAACTTCACTCTTTTTTAAACCATTTTTTAAAAATTAATTATTTTTTCAATCTCATCCTTCAACTTTAGGTTATTGGATCTTGAGTTTCATGATTTTTTTTCCTGCTTTCCTTTCAATGGTATTATCCCGATCTTATATCATAGGTTTGTTGAGTTAACTCGGGTTGATTTAATTTTTTTATATTTTTTTAATTTGATTTATTTTCCATTCTTCAATATTAAGTTATTGGCCTCGAACTTCATGAATATTTTTTTAATTTTTCTCTTCATTAGGTTATCACATTCTCATTCAATTTTAATTTGTTATCGAATGAGATCATTAAGATATTTTAAAAATATTTAGAGGGTATTTTTTTATAATATTTGCAAGCATTTATTTTTTTGATTGGTTATTGGCTTTTTCTGAGTTTTTTTTAGGTTTTTTTTTCTATTGCTTTTTTTATATAATATTATTAATTTGATCAAGATTATTGAATCTATTTGAATCAATGATTCCACATCTTTTTCTTACTCCTTTGAAAATATTATCATTGTTTAAATATATTTTTATGTTAGGAAAAGTTTGATCGGTTTGCACACCTATTTAGTTTAAAATCCAATACAATCAACTAAATATGACCTAGTAGATTGATTTAGAAAAGTCTAATCAGTTATAAAGTTATTTTCAATGACAACGGCTCTAGGCATGAACACCCCAACCTCTAGACCTAGCCTGCATATATTATCATCATTGGGCCTATAGTTGAGCTCGAGATTAGGCTCCGTCGAGAATCCTAAGTTCAGAAGATGTCATCCTGGGAACATATCGCCTAAGTCTATTCCCAACCTTGACCTTTTGAATAGTTAGTCCTCAGTATTAAATGCCTAATGCCATTAATATGACCTTTCATCATGATGGGAGTTCATATAACGATGTTAGAGAATGCTTTTACTAGAGCTTTATACATATGCCCCTAAGCTAAGTAATGTCTTTATGAAAGGGCATTCGGTTTTGAAATCAATGCCTCAACATATACTCTCTTATTACTTCAATAATTTTTTTTTATGTATCTTTTTCGTAAAACATGCACAATATAATTTTTTTTAAGCTTCATACCTTTTATCGCATGTGTGCGGTGTCGCGACGATCATCCTTTTGAGTTAGGAATTTATCTAGTGATAGGGAAAAGAACAAGGAATTTTTGTTTCTTATAAGAAAATGGGGATGAAATTTCTTATAAAAAAAAGAGGGATGGAGTCGTCGTTTAATATTTTAGTCACTAGGAACCATAATTGTTTTTAGAGTCTAGATAGAGGAACTAATTGTGTATAGGAGGACGCATCACCCCTAAGATACTTTACATAAAATAAATTGTATTGTTTGATATAATCTAAGGTCTTATTATATTTTCTAGTCGTTGATTTGTTTAAGGTTTTAAAAAAATCTTTCTTGGTAAGGATGTCCTTATCTTATCATCTTAAAGCATAGCTATTTTAGAGTCAAAATATATTTTTGTATTTTTTTCTTTTAATATTAGGAACACGTCTTACATATAAGTTCGTAATCCTTGATATTAAGATAAACAAAACAATTTTTTTTTGTACTTCTAAAATGTATGTCAAGTTATCTTGACTTTAATAAACTAGTTATTAAATCCAAAAATACATGTACAAATAAAAGACTATTTTTGTAATTTTTTAATACTCAAATATAATTTATTTTTAAGAGACTTGGCAATACTAAAAAAGAAATTTATAATTTTTGTCCTAACAGCTTAATCAATTATAAATCATCATCAAACAATCCCAAAAACATACACACAATTAATATTTTATCCTAAAAAATAGTAATTTATTAAATAAATGGTTTGGGGTTAGGAATTGACCTTCCAATATTGTTGTGGTTGTCTAGGGACTAGTGGAAACCTTCCAAAATTGCTAAGTAATCCCAACAGCGCGTGGAACCACGCACCACCACCACTATTGGTGCGTGGAATCATGCATTGTCTTTGTTGGAGGAGGAACACCTAATGAATCTATGATGCCTCTATCTCATCTTTAATTCCTAACTAACGGTGTAGTAAATAGATACATGTAGATGGAGCTCTGCTCTATTGAAGTTTCAATCTTCTTTTTGTTTTTCAGACCAAGTCTACCTTTCTCCTTACTGCTGAGTTCTGATGCTAATATTGGTGAGAGAAAATTTTAGAGGGTCTGAAAATAATACATCTCTTCTTAGATTCCCCACTAGTAAAGCTATAAATGGATCTCTATAGTAGGAGCTCTACTACATTGAAATTTGATGTATGCTTTTGTTTTTCAACCCAGGTTTATCTTCTCTCCTTACTACTATGTTTTAGTGATGCTACTAGTGGGAGAAATTTTTACAACATCTGAAACTAATACATCCCCTCTTAGATTTCCCATTAGTAGTGTCATAAATAGATCTCTGTAAAGGGAACTTTACTACATTAGAGTTTAATGTTTGCTCCTTTTTTTTCTTTACAGGTGGTTGCTACTACAACTGCTTGCAAAGGCTATTTTGTGATGATTTGAGGGTTGTCCTGGGGTGACTTGGAGATTGACTTTTCTTGTATGAGAAATGGTTGTTTGGGTGATGTTTTTATGGTTAAAGCTTTATATGGTTTGGGGTTTGTTTTGTTTTGTTTTTCTATGTGTCTGCAACCCTTCTCAACTTGCTTCTGTCAAGTTGCTATTATTTATTTTATTTTATTTTTTGAATTTTAAAAGAAAATGATGATTTTGGAAGAAACTTGAAAATTATATTATGACACCTTCTATATCAGTATTAATTTAAATATTGATTTTCTAAATCTTACAAGAGATATATTTACAGAAACTCATAAAATCCAAGTTTGACAATCCTAGTCTAGCCTTGGAAAGATCTTGATTTAAGTAGGATTTTTCATGAAAATCATCAAATCTTAACAACTCAATAAGCCACCCTTTTATTGTTCATCTCCTTGGCTTTCACTATGGATTGACTATTTAATGGCTTAAATTTTTGTTAAATTTGCCAACTCTTGATCTTAATCAAATACATATATTCTTGCTTTTTTTTTTCCCAAGTTGTTGTCTTCTTCCCCTCTCCTCGTCCAAAAACCCTAACATACCCAACAACTTATTTCTATTTCCAAAACCCACAATTATCACCAAATTGTTCGAAATTTAGGTTGCAAACAATCTTGGCAATTGTTGTCTTGCCGACACCAGCGATTCCATATATTACTGTTATATTCACATCTTCAAGCCTGTCTTGTATCCAGTTGTTAATATCTTTCACCTGAGCATCAACTCCAAGTAAATACGAGGGCACATCTAGTATTGTGCGTTTCAACATTTCTCCAATGTTTTTGACAATATCTTGTATGAATTCTGCCTAGGTCTGCAGATAGAAAAAATAAAAATAAAATAGAAAACCCATATTTAAAAAGAAATGGTTTGTCACTGCCTCGTTGCTCTTCTTTTTCTCACCAATGCCTCATTTCTTATCCCAGTTGCCTTGCAGTTTTCCATTTCTCTTTCCATATTGAAGACATTAATTTTCCCTAGATAGGCCACACTGAAAGTCAAATCTTCAGAAACCTAGTTGTAGTAATTTAAGTCCTAAAAGTAAAGTAAAAGATCAATCCCTTTGCATGAGGGCCTGTACTGGTCCCGTCTCCATACTTTAAAGTATTGAAATGCTTCCTAAACAGGCTGGAAAGTACAAACATCTACTTATCCTAACTGATAAGTTTATGAATTCCATTAGGAAACTATTATATTCAATTAATTGCAATTAAACTCCTTATTTTTTAGCCAATTATTAATTAACTCATGGAATGTGTTAGATTCAGGGCATTATGAAAACATTTCTCTAGTCACCAAAGACTACTCCGATCAAGACATTTTCTCAATGGGATATTCAGATTTTCTATTTTCCCTATATATACTTTATCAGCTCAGTTTTCTTTCACTTAAGTTATAGCTCCACAACAATGTTGTTTTGGCAACCACTGATGTGTTGATTTGATAACTACTAAAAGGTTTTTAGTAACCCTGTTCTGCAATTTCCTTAATCTGAAGTAATGTAGGATTAACGATTTATAACAAAAGTAGCTAAATGATGACCAAGTAACATTCACTACGTACTAATCAATGGAGTTTTCAATTTTAATATTAATTATAGAAACTAATTACCTGTTGTGTAAAACCATTCCTGCCAGATTAGTGACCTTGCAAAGAGCTGACCTCCATCCCTCAATCTTCTCATCCTTGAAAAGCTTTCCATCTCTAGAAAATGCTTCTGCCAAATCACCTGTTTGCTTTTGGACTTCTGATGGATCAACGTCATAAAATACAGGAAGAACAATGTGCCCAGCATGATGCTTTTTATGTTCCATAATCATTGCAACCTCATCTAGGCACCAACTTGAAGAAGCAAAATCACTCGAGAAGACAATCAATGACATTTTTGACTGTCGTATTGCCTTTTCAACTTCACATTCTATGTCGGCACCTCTCTCAATTGCATCGTGATCTCTAAATACATGAATTCCTACCCGCTTCAAAGTTGTATACAGATGGTCGGTGAAACTCTTGCGGGTGTCCTCACCCCTAAAGCTTAAAGCATATCAATCATGAAGTAGTTCAACTGACGTTTGTGCTCTAACTTCTATCTATTAAACAAGAAAATCCTACCACCATGCAAAATAATATTCCATGTCGTGAAAACAAAAGTAAAAGAGAGGATATAAATGCCTAATGGCCTTCGCTTTCCTGTGTTTTTGCTGTGATTGAGAACCTGCATTATGGAACTCACTGTTTGTATTTGGTTGATAGATAGATCAGACTATCAGAGCAAGTCAACTGTGTTTTAGTCAAGGCAGGGGTGGGAAAGGTGTCTTAATTACAATTACAATTAAAAAATAAATTAGAAGGCCTCGGATTTACTGTTAACCTGTTGCTTGGAATAGCTAAATTACCATTCTACCCTAGCTAAAAAACCTCATATAACTTGGTTTCAAGGGTAGAAAGGTCTTGTCCATGTCATAGCAATTGGAAAAACAAAGAGTCTTTTTATATTTTAAATACACAATATAATAATGTTTTACGTACCTTTAAAAATAAAAGAATTTCAAATTAAGAATAAAGGCTTTTTGATCTTCTAATATTTTGAATACACATTAAAATGATCATATTGCCTTTAAAACAAAAGGAATAAAACTTGTGGTTAGGGGTACTTAAGTCTTTTCCACACTATTCTTCCACATTATTTTTTTAATTATTTATATATATATTTAAAGATTTAATTGACCCTCATTCAAATTGTTATTACAAAAAAATACACATGCCAATGAGTGGAAGGCACTTATACTTTTTGTGTTGTGTATTTGGCATTTCTGATAATTAAACACTAGTATCCATGATGACATTGGAAGCGACTAGTTGTGCTCTTCATAGTCATGGAGTGCATGTTCATAGTGGAGCTTTAATTAGGCTCTCATGGAAAAAAAAAATTTCTTTTGTGTTTTCTTTTTCATGGCCTTGAATTTCTCATCGATCTCCCAAAAATCAATTGTGTTATCTAGTTTGTATTTATATCAATTTTAGTTTTTTTTCTTTTTATTAGTATTTGTTTTTTAATGCTTTTTATAGTTTATTTATTTTTTAATTTCGTTCCTCGGCATTTTATTTCACTTAATTTTTGTATCCAATTTAATCTTCATTCTTTTAATTACTATTTTTTTGTTTTTTATTCTAATCTTAATTTTTTTTTAATTTTTTCCCTTGCCATTTTATTTCATTTAATATTTTTTTTTCAATCCAAAATAAAGGAGACTTTTGGGCTCATCTACTAGTTTAAAAATTGACTTTGGCCCATATAAAAAAACGAGAGAAGGGCTTATACTTCATGTTTAATGAAAAATAAAATCATAATTATAAATGTAGAGGTCCAAAACTATTTATAATTTCAAAATTAGAATAGCAAGATAAAAGGTTGATGGGCTCTGATATGATATGATAAGAGATTTAATTGCCCTATAAAATTCTAAAGTGACAAAAGAAAAGGATGGAATGTCCTTAAATTCTATGATTGAGAGTCCTAATCCTAGGAGCATACCAGTTAAAGTCATAATTAACAATGAGTTAATTATAACTTTAAAGGATACTCACAGTACATATAATTTTGTCCAAGGCTGCTAGAAAAGGTGAAAATAAAATTTAAAAAACATGGATCTATTAAAGTTAAGATCATAGAAAGGACCAAAATCTAGAGCATAAAGAATTGCTCCGGTTTCAATTTTACTACTCAATGAGTTTAATTGTGAGGTTATGATATAATTCTATAAGTTTACTGGTTGAAGGGTTTAAGGCCCATTTTATAAGGTTTCTTTGAACTAACCACAAAGTTCCAATATAATAAACTCAAAGTCTAACTAAAGGGTTTGAGAGTTTAAAAGTTGGTAATAAACTGTACGCTAGGGAAGCTTAAAAGAAATGAAAGGACTAGTCTTGCAAATATAAGCTTTAGAGGTTGAGACCAAACACAATGTCATAACCCAATTCTAGGTTATTCCTTTTAATTTTTTTTTTCAAAATAAAAATTAAAAAATAAAATAAAGGCTGACAATGTCAAGAAAGCAGATCAAAAAGGGCTACAAAAATAGAAAAAAATCAAGCTGTAGTTTTTTAAGAAAATTCAAAGCCTAATCATACCTCATTATGCCTAAAAATGAAGAAAAATACAAATTCAATGTCAAATTGAATTATTATTGAATGAATTTGCATAAAAATTGAGTCTAATGATATAATTAAATTTTTAATAAGCCAATTTAATTTAATCATGGGTCAAATTAAATTTTAATTATATTTAAGAATTAATTTGGATCCAATTGAAGGATTTAATTAAGTGCAAGGACCTAATTATACTTTAAATAGGTCAAATTAATTTTAGTTTGGGTTTAATTAGTGAAAAATTAAGTTTGGGAGCCTAATTTTGGCTTACTTGAGAAAATTGGAATTTTAAGAGACCAAATTTAGTTTTTATCAAGTTAATTGATTGAAATTAGGGGTTTAATTGCATTAAATAAAAAAATTTAAGGTCAATTAGGGTTCAATTGAAAGCAATTGAAAGAGGAAGAACTGAAATAAACTTTGGCAAAAATAGGAATCGACACTATTTATTATCTTCTTTTTTCCTCTAAAAAAGATGATCTGGTTACTTACTTTACAGTTGCATTTAATGTACCTAATGTCCATCAAATTTGACAAATTTTATATGAAAATGATCTTATGCACTTTCTCTATGACACCATGTGATCAGTTTAGGCTAAATGACAAAAAATCATCTCTGGTAACAGTCTAAAAAGGTCAATTTAGTCAGCTTTTGTCCACAGATTTGCAACTCATAATACCTACTTTAAGTCGACGATTGGGATCCTTCCCAACTGAATCAAGGGCTGAAATGTTTTTTCAATGTAAATAAGATTACCTTCTTCCATCGTCTATAAATAGAGATAAGTTTTATGGCTTGAGAAAGGAGAAATGTGAGTTCAAAGTCAGCCAAAAAAACCAGTTTTTTTGTCAGTTTCTGCAATTTTTCTTCTTTTTTTCTCTCTCCACCGTGGCCTTCAACTACCACCACCCTTACCATTGGTTTGGTCACCATTAGCTCCACCACAATTATCACTGGTTTGGTCACCATTAGCTCCACCACAAGAAGCTAACAAAACCACCCGCCAATCACCAAGAGCCACCGTCGGTTTCTCTCTCTGCTCTGCAGCCTCTTTCATGTGTTTTTTCTTCTTCTTTTGCTTCCTTTGTTGCCGACCACCATCTGTCACAGCCTCAGCCACCATCTTCATGGCATTCCCTCACCATTTCTACAACCAACCAGTCATCAAGCAGCCACTGTGCTTTTCTCTCTCCTCTGCAACCTTTTCTTCTTCTTCCCACAGCCAACTCCAACCACCATCACCTCAGTTGATGTCCCCTAAGCCACCAACTGAACCACCTCATCGTAGCAGCCACGACCCCTTTAGCCAGGTGAGCCTCCCTTCCTTTCCTTTTTATTCTTCTCCCTTCCTCCCCTCCCTGCTATTCCCTACATGAATAGTAAGAGTGAAATATAATTCATGTTCTACTATTTATGCAGGAGATAAATTATATATCTATGTGCATGTGTGTGTGTATTATAATAAAAAAATAAAAAAAAATATGAAATCATTTTTTAAAAAAAAATATATGATTTTCTCGTATATTTTTCTACCCATTTTGCATAATATCGAGTTGTATATTTACACTGTAAAATACAAATCCAGTATTAAAATACCTGGTTTCCTCCGAAATTATTAAAAAATTCAAAACATTTTTAAAAAAAATCTCAAAATTTTTTTAAATCAATTTCCATTTTCAAAAAATAAAAAAAAATATATTTTGTCGCATATGGCCAAATCCTGAAATTTTTCCAATTATATTTTTCATAAAAAAATTGCATCTTTTTCATGTAAAAAAATTCAAAAATGGATATCGTAACCAGTTTATAATTATCCATTAGGATTTGGCCAACATATAAAAAAAAATTAATTTTTTTAATCCAGATGTAGACTTTAATATTTATGGGGTGTAAAATTATACGATAAAATACACTATCAGGTATTAAAGATACAATATGTAAATAAATGCAATGCTAAAATTCAGACTTTAGAACGGTTAGGATTTAACCCAATAAAGTAGAAACTCTCTTACGAATATAAATCTGCTTTGAGTTTTAGAAAAGACCAACAAATATCCGACTCAGAAAAAAACAATCAAACAACAATGCAGCTTAACTTAGGTAGGGTGCACTGGGGGTGACACGTCTTCCCCTTGGACAACTAGTCCCTTACTCAAACTCTTGCA